TGTCCTTGGCCTGAATTCGATATCAAACTCGCTTAACTCGATGGCCCATTTTAACAGCCTCCCAGAGGTCTCGGGCCGATGAAGGATCTGCTTGATAGGTTGGTCAGTCATTACTTGCACCGTGTGAGACTGAAAGTAAGGCCTCAATTTTCTGACCGCGACAATTAATGCAAACACTAGCTGTTCAGTCAGGCTGTATCTTATTTCTGCACCCCTCAATACTTGGCTCACATAGTAGACTGGTTTCTGAGCCTTCGAGAACTCTTTCACCAGAACCGCGCTGACTGCCTTTGGTGATACTGCCAAGTAGAGACACAACACGTCCCCAGGAGATGGGCTAGTCAAGACCGGGGGCTCTTGTAATGACTGCTTCAAGTTCCTAAGAGACTTCGCATTCCGGGGTCCACTCAAAATTGGAGGAGCCCCCTATGGCTTTGAAGAAGTGGTAGCATTTGTCCGCCGCTCGGCTCATGAAACGATTTAAGGCCGCTACCCGCCCCGTCAGCCTCTGAACCTTCTTCCTGCTGGTGGGGCTTTTCATTTCTAGGATTGCCCGAATTTTGTCCGGGTTCACTTCGATGCCCCTTTGCGTGATCATGAAACCTAGAAATTTTCCACCTGCGGTACCAAAAACACACTTTTCTGGATTGAACCTTAATCTGCTTTGTCGGGCGACGTCAAACACTTTTTGCAAACAGGCCACATGGTCATTGGCTCTGGCACTCTTGACCACCATATCATCAACATAGACTTCTACGACATCCCCGATTAGCCCACGAAAGAATTTGTTCACCATCCTCTGATACGTTGCTCCTGCATTTTTCAAGCCAAATGGCATGGCTGTGTAACAGTACGTGCCGAAATCCGTGATAAATGACGTCTTCTCTTGATCGGCCTCGGCCATTGAAATTTGATGATACCCCGAAAACGCATCTAGAAAGCTGAGCCTTTCATGAGCCGACGTTGCGTCCACCAGTTGATCTATTCTGGGAAGTGGGTATGAGTCTTTTGGGCATACCTTGTTCAACCCAGTATAGTCTACACACATGCGCAATTTTCCATTTGACTTCTTCACAAGTACAACATTTGCTAACCACTCGGGGTATTGCACCTCTCGGATAAAACCCGCCTGTAGCAATTTTTCCACCTCTGCTCTGGCCGCAGCCTGCCTTTCAGGGGCAAGGTTTCTCTTTTTCTGCTTCACTGGCTTAGCCCCTGGCTGGACACCGAGGCGGTGCTGCGCGACAGTTGAGCTAATCCCCGGGATATCCTTTGGGTTCCAAGCGAAGACATCCAAATTTTCGGCTAGACACTTCGCCAATTTTTCCTTCTCTTCGGATCCCAGACCTGTTCCAACAAGAAACTCCTTTCCTTCGTCAATAAAGATTCTTTCAATCATATCAAGCGGCTCGATCCGCTCCCTCGGGAGTTCTACATCCAGCATCATGACTAATGGTGGGCTTTTGGCTTGTATACTATCCACATAGCACTTTTTTGATGCATGCTGGTCTCCTCGCACGCTACCGATCCCCCTGCTGGTTGGGAACTTCATAATTTGATGTTATGTCGATGGGACCGTGCCAGCTGCATTTAGCAATGGCCGGCCGTAGATAGCGTTGTAAGCCAGGGGAGTCTTGACAACCAAGAAATTAGTCACGATCACCACTGTCGCTGGGTATATCCCAAGCGTGACTGAAAGCTCTACAGTCCCTTCCGGTATCACTGTTGCCCCTCCAAAGCCTTGTAGGGGGGTAGTCACCACCTTCAACCTTTCTTGAGGGATTTTTAGACCCAAGAAGGCATCCCATGTGAGGACATTTGCCGCCCTCCCTCCATCGACTAATACCCTCTTCACGTCAAAATCCGCAATATCGCCTACTATTACTAAGGCGTCATCATGGGGGTGAGTTACACCAATCAAGTCCTCTTCATCGAAAGTTATACTCTGGTTGAATCTTGCTTTTTTCTGTATAGAGCAGACCCTTAATGAGCGCGCATAACTCTTCCTAGCTGAATTTGAGTCGCCGCCCGATGCTACTCCTCCGATGATCATGTTAATCACTCCTGCTCTTGGTAGGGGTATACCTTCGACCCTTTGCCTGCTCTTATCGTTTTTCACATACTTTGCCAATAGCCCCCGTCTCAGCAGGCGCTCAATTTCTTCCTTTAACTGTAGGCATTCTTCGGTATCATGCCCGTGATCTCTATGAAAATGGCAGTATTTACTTTGATTTCTCTTGCCCGAAGGGGTTAGCATTGGTTTGGGCCATTCGAGCTCCTTCATATGTTGTATCTCCATCAATAACTTTGTTCGTGGAATGTTCAAAGGGGTGGGTGTCTTGACCTCCTCTCGTTTTTGCCTGACTAACCGGTCTTGGACATAACCCTTGCTCGTGCGTTCACTATTCTGCTTATTTCTATCATTGTGCTTTTGCTCGTCATATGTTTTTCGCTTGTTAGCTTCCGTCTCCCTTCCATCCCTGAGATTTTTAGTTACCTTCTCCGCTTCCTCCGCATCGACATACTTGTCTCCCTTCTTTAATAGGTCATGCATCGACTCCGGGGGGTTCTTGGAGAGTGACATCTTAAAGGCCCGATTTCGCGTTCCATTCATCAAGGCTGTAACCACTGCGGACATTTGCAGGTCTCTAATGCCAAGAGTCGCCCGGCTGAACCTGGCTAAGTATTCCTGCAATGACTCGTCTTTGTCCTGTACGACCTACATCAACCCAATGGCTGTCTTCCTCTTCCTTTTGCTGCTTAGGAAATAAGCCACAAAGCTCCTGAAGAGCTCATCAAATGACTTGATGGAGCGCGGGGCCAAGGTTGCTACCCAGTCCCTAGCCTCCCTCCTGAGCGTGGGGGGAAAGGATCGGCACATCACGGCGTCCGGGGCGGCATAAAGTCTCATCAGATCCACGAAAGTTTGTAGATGGTCAAGCGGGTCCGTGACTCCATCATAGGCTTCAATCATGGGCTGTTTGAAGCCTTTAGGCAAAAGGACCGCCATGATTTCTGGGGCGAACGGGTCTTCCTCCAAAACCATCTGTCTCCCCCTATCCTTCCTTTTGGACAACGCATCGTCTATCTTCTGTGACATGATTTCTTCCATCTTTCGTTCTAGGTCTACCATGGTTTGCGGGGGCTGTTGAGCTCCGGTCATTGGGGCTCCCGCGTCTCCGGCTCCCAGCTGAGAGGTGGGTGAGACAACCGCGGGTGGCGCTTGAGGCGGTTGTTGATTCGTCACTTCCGTCGGGCTTAAATGAGGGATGGTGGTTCTCTACGACTGGTCTTGTAAAAGCACCATCATTGCTGCCAATTGGTTTTCCAAAGCGCTGAATTGACTCTGCATCACATACTGCGGGGGCGGTGGTGGTTCATGACCCCTTGCAACTGACTCCGACTCCGTCTCCGTCGTATTCCCAACAGGCGAGCATCACTTTTTGTTCGTCTTCTTGACATGGCTTTTTAGTTCAAACGGATGTTTCCCACAGACGGCGCCAATGAAAGGCGGTGATTCAACACCCTTCTGTTTACCCGGTAATGTTTGGCGTTTCCACCACTCCGTCAAGTATGCAAGACCTGAAAAATGAAAGCGGGGCTTTCTCCCTCGTTTTACCTCAGGCGTGAGAATTAGTTTTCAGACTTGGAAAGAATATATTTGAAAATCAGATGGCTAAAAACGAGAATGGGAGCCCAAAAAAAATCATCCCTTACCTGTGTCTCATCCGGGGGTATTTATAGATATTAGGCACTAGGTAACCGCTGGGCGGTTGTGGTGCCACGTGTCCCATGATGATATGCCCACTACACCCACGTTCTGAGTGATGAGTCCTTAACTTCCCGTCTGAAGATTGTACCTGTATCAGCGGCCATGTAACCTTATCGATTCGTTAAAAGTTTTATGGCTAAGTGTTTGGACAAGGGATATCATTCCCGTTGAGGATTTCGTTTAGTGGTAGAATGATTTCTTGGGATAGCGGTAGACGCTCTTTGGGGGTTGTGGTAGAGCGCTTCCTAGACGTAGTGGTAGAGCGCTCCCTATGTGTAGTGGTAGAGCGCTCCCTGGGTGTAGTGGTAGAACGCCCTATGAGGGTCGATGGTCTTGCATCGGTGTGCTGTGATCTGCCTTGCTCGTCCTTGGGGGTGTCTCCTTCTACCAACCTATATCAAAATAATGTCAAATCATTATTGAATAATGTATTTTTTTCAAATGATGCGGCTCCAATCTACTTTATAAACACTGTGGTGATAATATAATGACATTTCCCCTTATTAAAAGTAGGTATATATATTCTTTCTCAAGTTCCAAAAAGATTAGTAAATTCCTTTATTTTTAGATTTGAATATCACATACACGTCAACCGTCATGACCATTTTTAAATTATATATTATCTAAAATGAAATTGATAAAACTGAAATGCATTTCCCTACTATATAAAAAGGAGAATATAAAGTTACTATAGAAATCAACATTGAATTGATTCATTTTATCTCACTGTAGCAATTTTATTTTATTTTTCAAGTGGGGAACAAAAATGACGCCATTTATTTTAGTATATATTTTATTATACAGTGTATTTCTAAATTTACTGTAACACGCAACTTTCCATACATCTCACAAAGTCTCATAAATATGAGAAAAAAATTCAATTTTATGTAAAAAAAATATTAAATAATAATAATAATAATAAGATAAAAAAATATTGCTAGAGTTTAAAAAGTTACATATAGAAAAAAATTGCAAACTGAGTAAAAAAACTTATAATTATAAAAGCTACTTATATATTATATAAATAAATTGTTGTGGTTACTTAGATATTAACTTAAAAAAAAAAAGAAATAAATATATAAACTCTTTGCCTCCGTGCATGAAGGCAAGATTCTCTGTGCATAGAGCCTCTTAGACTCCGTGCATGGAGACCAGATGTCTCCATGCACAGAGTGAAATGGTCTCCATGCACGAAGACATTTGTCTCCGTGCATGGAGGCTTTTGTACTTTTTTTATGTTATAGATAAATTTTGTTTCCAATTTAAGATTCTTTATAATTATTTTTTCTTCATAATAAAACTTAATTTTTCAATTTTATAATTTTCATAACTTTCTTTTATTTTATTTTTATTATATATTTTCACATAAATGTTTCTTCTTCTCTTTTCTCTTTTTATATTTCCTTTTATTTTTATATCAGGAGTTTAATGTGTTATTGTTCCTTTTTTTTATTACTTATTTTGTTCTTTTTGTTTGCGTATAAATTCACTTGTTTTTTTTAGTGCTTTTATTATTTGTGTATTGTTTTTCACGTGCATATTTTTGATGAATTTGTTGAGGTTTGGAAGTTACAAACTTTGAAATTGATGGAATTGATTTTATAATAATTGCCATGGATATATTTAATGATTGTGAACGTAAAGTAGATTAGCAGAAGCAAAAGTTACAAGAAGTTAAAAGTTTTATAGATGTGTCAAACTTTCACTGTGGTCTTTTTTGTAGACCATAAACATTGGGGTTTCGTTGTTAATTAGCTGGAAGACGCATCTGTCACCCATTTGTAGTTGTATTTCCGTAACAAAATCAGCCCAACCTAGAGTAAGACATCTTATTACGCCATTTGGTCTTAAATTTGTGGTAATGTTCCAATTGTGATGCAGAGAATCGTGGATTTGACTATTGTGCACAAATTTCGGCAAGTGCTGTCATGCAAAATTTCCTGGCGTGTATATATATATATTAAAAAATAAAAGATACAACTTACAATTTTCCTATAGTTCGAAAATTGTTTCTTTTCTGTATCAACTTCGTGGACAAACTACACCTTTATTGAATTTCTATGAGAATTTTTTTTTAATTATTATTATTATTATTATTTTGGCATCATATTCAGGAAAATTTGAACTTGTAATACATTCATTACTTTGTGTGGTGGTAAAACTTGGCTTCAGAGGAACCACCCTTTTGTTGTCACAGGTGAATTATCTTCATTATACTTTAACATCGACAAACGATGCTTGTTTTTTCTTTCAATAATTTAAGGGTTTTTTTTTTTTTTGTGTGGTAAAATTTGATTGTTTATTTGACTTGTGAATTGTCCAGGGAAGTTTTTGAAATTTTAGCTGATTTTATTTGCCCTAAAAGAACATCAATTTTGGAATACACTGTTGTGTTTATAATTGGGTAGAGCTTAATCGTCATTCCTGTTAGCTAAACTTATTATTTTTACTTTAAGTCATTTAATCGGGCTTAGCTGTTCTCGAATCCTTGCTGGAATTTTTGAAATCGACATGAAAGAAGAAAAATGAGGCTGCGAACACAAGAAAACAAAACACGTATAAAATATAAGTGATAAATGGGAAAATTTCACCCTTGATCCCCAACTTATTGCTCAAATTTCAATTAGTCCTCAAATTTTTAAAATAAATCTTCAACCACCTATTCTTATCTCTTAGCCTGAACGGCCTTAATTATGTGTGTATATATATACCACAGTACATCCATAAGTCCAAAGTTATGCCTTTGTGGTGGAAACAAGTAATTCTATTATATAATATAAAAAATTCGACATGTCAATTGAAAGAATTCTTGAAAGGCATTACAAAAAAATTTGTAATTTTCTACGATAGCTAAATATTTGTTTTTCATGAAAAAATGATAAGTAAATTATATATAGACATGATTCAATGTTAGTTATTTTGCGTTAATTCAATGCCATGTCACGTCTCTTAAGTATTTCAAACTAAGGTTCTAAATGCTATGACCTTCCATCCAATTACCATAAGAAATTTTATAAGAAAGTAACGAATGCTCTTATGAAAGTCCAAATTCCTAGACGGAATTCCGGATGAAGCAATAAGTATTGCTCTTGAGCAATTCGAGCTGAGGTGTGAGTTTTGTAACTCCCACAAGGAATTTTAGAAGAAAGCAAGACTACACTTAAACAAGTCCAAATTTCAATAAGGAATTCTTGAGGAAGAATTAAGCAGACTGAGTGCTTTTAGCCAATTTTTTTATAAGAAATTTCAAAGGAAGAAATATGGATTAATCCAGCATAATCCTATAGTTACAAAAGTGGTAATATTGATCTTCAGTAGAGAAATTTACAATTTATAAGATAATGAAAACACAATAAATACGAAAACTCGTGCAACGCACGTGACAAAGACTAATATTAAGAAAAGATAAATTTTTTACAACTGCTCGTAATTTAATTTTGTTCGAAGTTATTGATATAAATATAAATTTGCATGTTATGTATATAGTTGTTCGAAAGAGTTTAAATATTAATGACATAAATATTTATTTTATTTGGAAAATGCAATAGTTAATATATAACATTAACACACACACACACACACACATATATATATATATATATGGTTACAGATTTTGAATCATTTATTGCCAACTTGATAAAAGTGTAAAATATAATATTTTTCCCTCTTAATTATTGCATTCGTGTGGTTATTTGATACAAAAATGCACTCATTATACTTATATTTTGATTTAGGTTCTATTTTGGTAGAAAAATGTGGAAGTTAGAAGAAAAGAGCAAAAAAGGACCAAAGTGAAAGGAAATGAAAATTCGGAGATTAAAGTGCAAATACTCCAAACTTATGTTTAACCTTATGATGAAGACCATATATATATATATATACACTAGTGTAGGCACGTGCGTTGCACGTGTAGTAGGTGATGTAGTGTAAGTGAATGAGAAATTGCTATTGTAAGTTCGTACGTAAGTTTTAAATTCAATGGATTCAGCACAATTTGATTTAAATAAATGATATAATTCAGCCAGCGGATCATTTACTTTCAATTTAACAGCTCCATCACAACAATAATTTCAGAGCTCCACAAAATTCACATTACACAAGGCAAGATAACATATGTGATTTGTTTGGTATCGAAAACAAGCCTTCATTTCCGGTAGACATGGACGCCATTTGCTCTGAATGAACATCAAGCCCATGGTTACATGTTGAAGAATGACCATCTATCATTGGAACCACAGTAGAACCTAAAAGGCACAAAAACATGTCCATTAGAAAAAAAGATAACCAGAAGATATTTATAAATTGAATTTGGATGAAAGAAATATGGCACATAAACTCACTTGGTCCAATTGTTACAGTCTTCATTAAAACAAAGAGTACTAAGTACAAGTGTACAACAATGTTTTCTGTAGAATTGGGGGAAAAAATAGATTTCAATAAAAATGAAGAGAAGCATTTAAATTATAATTGAAAAAAAATAAAATTAAAAACAAATGAAGCAAAAGCATTTAAACAATCTAAAGAAAAATAAAAAACGAATTTATTTCATTAGATATAATTTATGAAAATTATTTATAGTTCTTTTTGTGTATTATTATATGCTTGCTCATAATAATCCTCAATAGTTTTAGAAAACAAACTTGGAAGGCGCTCTTAACAGATATGCTTATTTTTCTTTATGTGGCGTATTTTCTATGTTCTGTCATCCTCGGCAATATGTAGTTGGCCAGTAGCAGCTAACGTCTAGTTGTTCTTTGCACTGTAGAGTGAGAACGACATAGCATGATAGTCCCATGTTTAAGAATATAAATTCTTTAGCTAACTAAAACCAATGTATTTATACTTACAAATGGCTAGTTAGTTTTGTCTGCTTCATGGGATTCTACTCTATTGTCATTACCAAGCAATTAAGTTAATAATCATCCATTCGAGCCACGTAATACCCTACAGCGACTGAAAATTCAGTATCATCAAGAACATGTTTGTGTATAGCTTATCAAGTAATGACAATTAAATTAAAAACAAAAATGACTATTTATTTGTTGTAATGTTATCAGCACATAGAGAATGCTTATCCAGGGTCTAAGAACAATTGGTGATTCTCAACAAGGTAAATCGCTTGTGGATCGCTTTATATTGAAAAGTTCATTTCGATAAATTTATGACTTTGTCTCGACTAACAAGTAACATATCTTTCCTATGCTAAGAGTCTTGAAGACTCTAATATATGAACCATATGAGCTGAACAAAAAATGATTTGCACAACACTATGTAGCTTGTATTCCACAAAGGAAAACCATGTGAAATGACAGTATACCTGTTCATCAATTCAATATTTCTCTAAACTTATGACAATTATAAAACCAACTCTGTACAAAAAGCACTCCATTGTAGAAAGACATGCAGGCTTGATTATAGATAATAGAACACAAAAGTACAAAAAGATGTTAATCTACATACCAGTACATGAGCTCTAAATCAATTTTTCCCTATTACCATGGAGGTGAAGTCCTTCAACACCATGGAAAATCATATAAGAAGGCTGTATAAGATTCTCATCAACTATGGCAATAATATGTCATATTAACCAATGCAACAGATGGACAAATCAGATGGAAAAGCAGTATGCCAAATATAAAGTTATGGTAGTAGAACATCATGTTTCAAAATCTATGAAATAACTAATAAAAGCTTAAATACCAACAGCTCATCTATATAGGCAACTTAGTAAATGATTGTAATGCATATTCAATTGATAAACACAATAGGATGGAGGTCTGGTCAGACAAGCTAGGACAATCGGGTTGTTAAATTTTATAATTTCAAAGCCATGGATCCTTCAAATGCCATGGCAAGAGTTATATCTCACCAGAAAGTATGACATCTTCCATATTCACAGACTTGCGATCAGTATGCTGAGCGAATAATTCGAGATCCTTAGCTAATTGCTGGGCACATTTGAAGGCTAAATCCGAGAGACAGGCCATAGTAGGTTAAGAAATTTACATGCCATTTTTCTTCCCTTTGGCTTTTGCAATGGAGATTGTGCTGAGTCAGAAACGATCTCGCAAGATTTCGCCCACCGATGCTTCTTCTTCATCATCTCTCTCCATATCACTTCCCATTTGAGCTAGATTATTGTTCTATTGTCGTTCTGTGTATTGAAATTCCTAAACTGAAAAAAATTAGGATCGCTCTTAGAAAGAAATTGTGCAAACTCAATACCAGGAAATTCCTACCTTCTTCCTCTGTAGAAAGTGCCTGAGATTTTGTAACAATCAATTCAATCCCAACTTGCAACAAGGTTTCAGAATGTTTCCCTTGTGAAGCACTGTAATCAAAGTATTATTAAGTTAGCAGCGAACTTGAAAGGAAGAGCATTAAATCTGAACAATGCAATAATTACAACATAATTAATCCTTATAGCAGTGCTTTGATTTGAGACTAATCACAGAATTGGAATTTAAAAACTCATAAGAAAATGAGCATAAAAAGTAAAGCCTAGAAGAATTCAAATTGAGCAACACAAAAACAATAAGAACCCCCGGGGAGAGATCTCGTTACATTCAAAGGTCCAACCCTTACTCCATTCCTGCTTTCGTTAGGAATGGCGGGCATGGAACTCATTCTAAACATTGTTAATTCCTCTTTTTGGGGAGCTATTAACTTTTTTTTTTTTTTAAAAAAAGGTAGAAGAAAAAAGGAGCCAACTTTCCATCATAGAGAAATGGGATCTAGGAGGGAAAAGAAAATCACAATGGCGGTGGAGAATATGGAGCAAAATATGATCCATTCTAAACATGTAAGAAACCTCCTAACTCCCTTCCAAAGTTTCCAAATCCAAATGTTATTCGTTATCCCAACCTAATTCTCCCACTACAAAAAGAGAACATATCACATTTTGACCTTTGTGATTCTTATAGAAAAATAAAACAAGAGAGAAGAAAAAAGGAGTAAAGGTTATAAGCCTCTGAACAAGCACACTTGTCAAAGCTAAGTCAAATTTGTAGAAAGAAAGGAAAAGTACTTAAACAATACATTATACAATTATGGCATATTTAGTAAGATGGATTGACAACAATAGGGAGTATTGAGGAAGGAAAAAGAAGAAGTTAAACTCTAGTCTAGTTTCATACAATATTGCGTAACCAAAGTGCACATAAATAATAAGGAAATAAAATAAACGACAATGTAATATCTCATCATCAGCCAAAAATGTAATATCAAATCTCTAATCATCCAATGCTGCATCTTGATCTCAAAGAAACAAATTGTCAAAGACTCAAAATAACGATAAAACTGAATTTCAACAAATTTAAAGGATAAATGAAATTTCTGAAGTACCTGCACTTTGTTGAGAATTAATTCCGACACCATCTGCAAATAATTCAACCAAAAAATTGCCAAAAATCATTAAACAGCCAAAAGCAGCAATCTTCACAAAATTAAAATAATTGGATTAGTAAAATCCTCCCTACGCCGAAAAGAGATTCAATTTCGAAATCCAATCAGAAATTTCAGAAAAAAACTATATATGTGTGTGTGTGTGTGCCGTTGGTGATAATAGCGCTGGTTCGAGGTGGAACTTTGAATTCCTCAGCGGCAAATTTGAGAACTGCAGTAAATGGAGCAGCCTTCGGAACGCTAAATTGGCATTGGGAACTTATTCAAAAAATGAAAGATTTTTCATCATGAAACGGAAATTAATTTTACATAAACTGTGGAAAAAAAATGAATGGGTAATTTAAGATACAAAAATAATAAAATACATCAACCCCTCGTATTTAAATCAATTTCTAATGAAACTAATGAAAGATAACAAAAAAAATAAAAAATAAAAACCCAGATAAAAATACAGATACAGAATAATGAACAGGAAAACTTAAATTGCAGTACAGAGACACAATCAAAAAAATAAATTACCAAAAAAGAAAATCCAAACAAACAAACACGTATAGAAAAATGAGAGAAACATAAGTAAAGAAACCTAGAATCATAAATGTCACTATCAAAGCTTAGATGTATGGAGTTTTAAGCAAAAGAGACGGAACGTGAAAAGATAGAAGGGTTTACGAATGAAACCCACAATTTATCTCTTTCAATCATTCTTTAAGAATAGCTTCTCATAGAGGCTCGAATTGACATCAGAAAGGTCCGACAAAATTACGCAACTCATAGAGAGAATCTTGGGAGAAAGAAAATGGAAAAAGAGAAGAAGAAAGGACAAGTATGGTATGGATAGTTGTCTGGAAAATGGTACTGAGTGAAGAGAGATGAGAGGTTCTGAGAAGAGAATAAAGATATGGTTGCGTGTGTTAGTACTCAGAGGGATAGGAGCTAGTGATAGGGAAATAGGGATGCAATGATGAAAGCCACGCACTTTCAAGAAGCGGCTCAGCTAACACGGCTCCGCTCCAGTCAAATTGATTGAGTCGACCAAGAAAGTGGCTTGTGAACAGTAACACATCCACTGCCTCTTTTATATGTAGTTAGATATATACAGATTTTGAATCATTTATTGCCAACTTGATAAAAGTGTAAAATATAATATTTTTTCCTCTTAATTATTGCATTCGTGTGGTTATTTGATACCAAAATGCACTCATTATACTTATATTTTGATTTAGGTTCTATTTTGGTAGAAAAATGTGGAAGTTAGAAGAAAAGAGCAAAAAAGGACCAAAGTGAAAGAAAATGAAAATTCGGAGATTAAAGTGCAAATACTCCAAACTTATGTTTAACCTTATGATGAAGATCCTTTTCTTCCGAAAAAATGAAGGAGAAAGATCTTCTTCGACGGATCTCTCTTGTTCCTGTTTAGTTTCCTTCATTTCGTAAGCTATTTCTATTTCTACATGAATTTGCTTTCAAGCAACTATTCCCTAGATACACACATCGTGTTTACAATTCTATTTTTAAAATGTTTGGAATATTTTGTTCCTTTTTTTGAATCTATTCTTGCACCATTTTCAACTCTTATCGGGATCCGGAGTTTTTTGAGAAAAGGTCCCATCTTTCAATATCATGATTGGGCCTCATTCTTCGAGAATCAGAAAGATCGTTTTCAAGTTTGAATTTTTCCATTAGGAATTTGGGTTCTTCTACTTCATTTTTATTTAATAAGGTAATAGACATGAATAGTCATCGACTTTTGGGAAAGGATAGAAGAATGGGACTTATTATGGGACATGAGAGTGTTAGAGGTTAAGCGGATGTGGAAAGAAGTCAAAGGGATGAAATATCATTAAAGTATGATCACACATCAATTCCCAATCGAAAAAGTTACGCACCGATTTTTAACCTCATATTGGGATCCCTTTTTGACATGTCAAATGATCAAATTGGAAGATGATATCTGAATAAAAGTTGTAGCCATTTGAATTAGCTTTCCAACACAATTTGAATCACCTCAATTGGATATCGAGATAGAAAGTTATGACCAAAATACTAAAAGCTGTCCCGATGGAAAAAACGGTTGAACTATGCGGTCTCATAGTTCAAAAACCATATGATCGCATAGAAGGCCCTAGGGAACTTCAGGGCTGAAAATATTTGTTCAATGCGACCGCAACACTTACTACAATGCGGTCATATAGAACACTTCCGAGGCGCGAGATTTTGTTTCCTATTTTCACTCAAACACTCACGATAACTTAATTTTCCACGACTTTAAGCCAAAAAAATCATTCGAGAAATGCAATCATCGATCCTCATATCAATTTTCTTTGATTTTTGGCTCGAGAAATCAATGGAGAACTAAATTCTTTGGTGAAGCCATGAAAAATCTTGATCGGATTTGGGGATTTCAATGTCGTTTCATTCATGTAATGTGATTTTTATTGTTAAATAATTCTAGGATTCAGATTTCATTTTTATATTACGCTTATGAGGTTTGCTTAACTTCTATTAAATCTATCATGGATTCAATCATATTTTTTTTTTTCATCCATTGATTACAATATTTGTTGAGTTTAAAATGTTTCAATAATTTATTGACGTGATTTGATTATTGCTTTATGCTAAAGTATATCGTCCTTTTTTTTTTTAATCTTGTTTCAATAAATCAAGCCGAATTTGTTTTTAAGAAGTCTAAATTCTAGGATTACAAGTTAAACAAATTGATCTAGGTTTCTCCTTTTATGAATTGGTTTTGAAATTGATTTAATTTTTATTAGATTGGTTATAGATTCAGTCCTGTTTTTCTATCCGTTGATCAAAATAATTGTTGAGTTTCAATTTGATTTATGTCATTGGTGGATTAATTACTTCCTTATGCTTGATGTATATGGACGTTTCTTAATCTTATTTTAATGAACAAATGTGAGAATGTGTTATAAAAAGCCTAGATTTTTGGAGTAAAATGTATGAATAATTGATGTTGATTGACCCAATCCGAGAGAGTGAATTCCTGTGTTTTACTAATCTCACACTTCAATATTTAAATTTCATTCAAATTGATAAATTCCTCTCACAACCATGAAAAACCAAAGTTTGTCAAATCCTTTAAACAATTTGTTCATCTCCTTGTGAAATCGACACCTCAAAGTTGTGCTACAATTATCGCGTTATTTCTTTGGGAGTAATCACAACTCGAACAAAACTTATATTTGAATTTCCTCTAGCTAATGGTAGAAAAATTCATCTTTTTGTTCACAGTGGCATTTAAGGTATATTAAAATAAGTTTAGATGACATGTAGCAAAAAAATGGTTAGGGAGTGTGTGTGATAATTAAATCTAGAAATAGTGGATGTTATTGACATTCCTTGAAACGTTAGGGGTGCCTTTTATGCTCTCTATTGTAAATAATGTTATGATAATATGAAATACTATTTATTTCCTAAAGGAGAAATGTATGAGAACAGCCCAACTACTTAAACAGTGGTAGGGACAAGCTCCTGTGACAAGGGTTGAAGTGGTGCTAGCACAAATCATATGAGTATTAAATTAAGAGGTCAAAATGTTACACTTCAAATCTACGTAAAGGTCACATAGGCACATGACAAGAAAAGCTACATGGGCTAACGTCATTGTTCCACATGGCAGTCTCACGTACTTTTACACTTATTTTCCTAGCTAGGGCATAGTATGGCCCATAGGCGGCATTGTCCTGCATAGTCTTCTTAAAAAAGGGTAAATACAGTTAAGCCTCGCTTTGATTGCCAAACTTAATGTGATTTGCATATATTCATGTGAACTTTTATTTGTCTAATGGGCAAAGGCAATTGAGTGAAGCAATGTGCCTGCGGTAATTAATTAGATACTCAAAACAAGAGTTAATTGTTTCAATGATCACTGAACTTAGGTCCATATTTTTTATTGATCATTGAAATTTAAAATGTCGAATTTTGGTTACTGAACTTAGATTCATGTCTTTGATTGCTCACTGAAGTTTAAAACGTCAAGTTTTGACCACTGAATTTTGAAAAATGTTGTACATTACTCACTAAACTTTGAAAAATGTTTTACATAACTTACTGAACTTTAAAAAAATGCTGTACATTATTCACTGTAAACTCGATATTTTTCAAAGTTTAACAGTTATGTTAGTGAGTAACGTACATTATATTTCAAAATTTAATGGCCAAAACTCGACATTTTAAATTTCAGTGAGCAATCTAAGATGCAGACCTAAGTTCAGTGAGCAATCGAAGACACAAATTTAAATTCAATGACCAAAACTCGACATTTTAAATTTCAGTGACTAATCAGAGACATAAACTTATGTTCAATGACCATTGGAACAATTAACTCTCAAAACAATAAGGACAAGTAGTAGATATTTTAAGTAGATCTATTTTATAAAGGATTACAACTGATTTTGACATGGGTCTGGTATATACTATTGTCGCACTTCATGTACAAGAAGGTGTTTTGAAAGGTCTAGTGAAATTATCGATATGAAATTTTTTTAGTTTATTTTATTTAAAAAGTGAGATTTCAATGTGAAGAGGTGTAAAATAAAATTACAAGTTGGTCGAGAAATGATTGGCTTATTTTCATATTGGACTGTCGTGGTCGTCCTAGGGGCTTGAAAATTAACTTTCATAGTTGAGCGTGCGTAAACAAAAATTAAAATGGAGAGAGAGCTACTTTTGATTATTTTTCTTTTCCCCCCTTCAAAAATTTTACAATTGTATCATTCAATTCAAAATTTTAACTGTTTTGAGACTTATCCAGGTCAGCTTGTTAGCATGCCTGTCTTGACACTTCAAGCCCTAAACCATCCGCTTGAATTTCAAGTATATTACTTTAACCAAACACTCCATAAATAAATTACAATAACGCAAAAAAGGAAAGGCGAGTTTAAATAAAACAATAAAAATATCACCGGTTTACAGCTCAAACCAGATCAACACTGGAACCCGCTGACCCATATCTGACCAAGGTTACACTCGCTGGTTTCCCCGCTTTTTCAATTCCCAAACAGGGAAAGCATACAAAAAATTCGACGGAAAATTCATGCAAATGGAAGAAGAACAAGGAAAATAAGGGATTTTCAGGCTGTAAATGAAGAATAAAGCACTCCATCAGCTTCACAAGGTACATTCTTAAATCGTCCAATCTCAAATTATGTAAATCTGCAATAGTTTAATTACCATGTATTCGTGTGTAATATATACGCTGACTCAATGGGATCCAACATAACTTTGATACATTTTGAAATTAGCTATTTTCGTGCTCTTAATTTAACGTGTAATTTTAATTTTATGGTTTTTACTGTTGTTTCGCAGTTCTATCAAATTGGGATCGTGTCTCGGGTTCCCCAAAGCGAAAACAAGATGAGTTTGAGACAGTTTTGAAATTTGGAGTTGGAATTGCGTTTTTAATTCAACTTCAGGATAAATGAAGGCTGGGAGCGCGGCCAAGCTGATTGTTGATGCGCTGTTGCAGCGTTTCCTTCCACTTGCCAGGCGTCGCATCGAAACAGCTCAAGCACAAGTAAGATTCTGATTGGTTTTTAATTTTGTTGGGTTTGATTAATAAGAAGAGTTGTTGGAGTGTAGATAATGATATTTAGATTGTAGTTTTATGCAATTACAATGGGCTAGAATATATTTATCCTAAATTTGGGCAAGGCACTCCAGGTATTAGTTATACACAATCAGTGCTACTTGCGGCTGGTGAAATTTCTTGCTTTATAGCCCAAGCAAAGCAAGCCACGACTAGAAGAAAACAAAATAGAAGATAGAATTATATTATTATCAGTTCAGTCAAAAGTAAAAGATATGAATGATAGCTCCACAGTGAGAAAATACACGTGGAAGATCATCTGGCAGTCAAAGGGAAAAAATGTCAGATGGAGTACCTTTAACATTTTAAATATTTTTTGACGATGGGAGCTTTTACACGTCATAGTAGTATTTCTATCATTCACACTTGCATCTCATAATATGCAATGCGAAGTCTTTGCACGTTGTTATATGATGGAATCAGTTGGTTTTTATATTCCTTCGCATACTAATTGCAGGATGGGCAATACCTTCGACCATCAGATCCTGCTTATGAGCAAGTGTTGGACTCTTTAGCTATGGTGGCTCGGCATACACCTGTACCTTTATTGGAAGCTCTATTACGGTGGAGAGAAAGGTATTTTCTCTTCCTGCGATAAATTTAACTCTAGGTAGCCTGTAATGATGTCATAGATATTGCATATCTGGAATGATTTATATAACTACTAATTAGTATCTTGATGTCTTCTGATTTATCTCTTGATTTACTTCTTCATAAAGTAAGGTTGCTGCGTCGGCTTATTAATGTTAATTATGTGCCATTGGTCTTGGGACGTGTGCTACTGTCAGTCAATCCTGCAATTTATTTTGCCGTTTGTTGGGCTCAAGCTATGGCTATCCTGATTGATTGCTTTTTCCAGCCATGATTTTTTCTTTTAGTTTCGAATCTTAGGTGCCAAGATTCATGCTCGTGGACTCTCTAGTCATTATGGCTCCGAGTAATTAATAATAATGAAAACAGTAATTTCTCAATACTTTTGACAGTTCAATGTAACTATATTTTCAGATGATAATATATTAATCTTCTTGTTTCAATTCCAAAATGGGGTCTTGGTTACGTCATATGTCTCACAGTAAGCACATGGCACTGGTGGTAGAAAAAACAAAAATAATAACATCCCTGCCTTGAGCATTACCACAATGATGCCTTCCGTTACTGTATTTTTGAAGCTAATTTAGTATTATTGGGTCAATATATGTAGAAGATATAATTTCTTTAGTGAGCGTTTCTTTATTTTTAAACCTCAATTTCTGCTTCTCTTTTGAAGCCAAATCATGATGTCTCATTTAAATCTCATGTCATGATGCTATGCAGTGAATCACCAAAAGGTGCAAATGATGCTTCAACATTTCAGAGAAAGGTTTGCCTCTCCCAGTATAATTGAATTTATTACGTTGTCTCATATAAAATTACGGATGTTGTTGATTGAAATTCCATTACCTCATTGCACGCAGAACATATTTATCTCTTTATAAAAAGAAAATGAAAGGAAAAGAGGCCAATTGATATTCTCCCCCCCCCCCCCCCCCCCCCCCCCACCCCCCCCCCC